AAATAAATTTACAATTTCATCTGCCTCTCCCATAGTTGAAATGCTCTGACAGTTTGAAAGAGCAGCTCATTCTCTGGCCCAGGCATAAAAATGTTTATTGGCAGCCCATGACTATATTAGAGAGGTCAGCTATGGTATGGAGGAAGACTTCACTGGCTTGGTAAACAGGAACTCTTGGGAATGATTAAATACAGAATATGGCATCCAAGCTCAAAACACCAATAGTTATGACCAAGAAAATCAAAATTTTTGTACAGTTTTGAACTAATAGGAGCTTAACACCACCATTAAAGTTGATCCAGAGTAGAAAGAACAACCCCTATAATGTAGTCATTTCTTAACTCATAATTGCTCTGGAATTCCAATAAGATATATGTTTTGTCACTATGTTTTATCTCTGCTTCTTCCTGAAAAAAGGCATGAACACACAAAGGCAAAAAGAACCTTTTTCTGGGGACAACAATGGAGTAAAAGGATATTCACATGATTTCAAAGTAATTCCCCACAGGGCACATAATAAAAGGCAAAATAGTAACTTGGCATTGGAGAAGCCCAAGTTATCACCAGTAATGGGACAAATACACCAAGAACATATTACTTTTATGATATTCCTGTCAAAAATGCATAATTTGAATCTAAACTGCAAAAACATCAGACAAACCCAAATCAAGGGACATCTTACAAAATAACTAACATGTTCTCTTCAAAAATGCCTATTTCGTGCAAGGTAGAGAATGACAAAGAAATTGTTCTAGACTAAAGGAGGCTAAAGAGACATGACGATTGAATGCTTTTGCTATAATGGACATTATTAAGATAACTGACAAAATCTAAACAAGGTCCATAGAGTAGATATTATATCAATGTTTATTTCCTGATGATTTTGCTAGCTATTATAATTCTGTATGAGAATTATTTAGAGATAAAAGTTCATCATATCTGCAACTTCTAAAAGGTTCAAGAAAAAAAACATATACACACATACACAGAGAAAAAGAAATAAAGCAACTGTGATAAAATATTAACATTTGAGGAATCTGGGTGAAGGGTGTACAGAAACTCTCTACTAGTTTTAGAATTCTAATTCTGAACTGCATCAAGATAAAAAGTTAAAATAAAAAATAGAGATCTTTAAGTCTGGTTAAGTAAACAAAATGTAGATAGATGAACAAAGCAAAAAAAGCTAAACCTTCCAAGGATAATGATAATAAGACTCAGAAATTAAAGTACACAGTATCCTGGAAGAAGGGGCTCTGAGAACAAGAATGAGGGACAGTTGGTCCCAGAACCCCTTATACTCCCACACAGACAACCTTCTCCCTGCCACCCCACCCCTCAGCCTTTGCAGGAGAAGGCAGACTTATATTCTGGAGAAAATGAATAAGAGACAATCTAGACTCAGAGATACCAGACACAGAAGGCAGGGTGAGGCACCAGAACAAATACGGATTGATACAGAGGATAAAAACAATTGTGAAAACACATCATATGCTCATGGATCAGCAGAATCAACATTGTTAAAATGGCCATACTATCCAAAGTGATTTACAAATTCAATGCAATCCCCATCAAGTTACCAAAGTCATATTTCACAGATCTAGAAAAAATAACTCTACACTTTGTTTGGAAGCAGAAAAGAGCCTGAATACCCAAAGCAATCTTAAGCAAAAAGAACAAATCTGGATGCATCACATTACCAGACTTCAAACTATACTATAAGGCTATGTTAAATAAAACAACATGGTGTTAGTACAAAAATAGAGACATAAACCAATGGAACAGAACAGAGAACCCAGATATAAAACCATCTACCCACAACCAACCGTTCCTTGACAAAGCAGACAACAATGTACACTGGGGAAAAGAAGCCCTATTCAATAAATGGTGCTGGGAAAATTGGATAGCCACATGCAGAACAATGAAATAGGATCCCTACTTCTCGCTACTCACAAAAATTAACTTAAGATTGATAAAAGACTTACTTAGATTGAAGGCACAAAACCATAAGAATTCTAGAGGAAAATATAGGAAAAACTCTTTTAGATATCAGCCTAGGAAAATAATTTATGACTTAAGACCCCAATATCTTGCATTGGCAACAACAAAAATTAATAAATAGGATTTGATTAAACTAAAAAGCTTCAGCATAGATAAGGAAACAACCAACAGAGCAAATAGACAACCTAAAGAATGGGAGAAAATATTCGCAAGATACACATGCAAGAAAGGGCTAATAACCAGAATTTACAAAGAACTCAAGCAAATCACCAAAAAAAAAAAAAAAAAAAAACAACCTTATTAAAAAGTGCGCAAAAGACATGAACAGCAGCTTGTCAAAAGAAGAAAGACAAATGGCCAATAAGCATATGAAAAAATGCTCAACATCACTAATCATCAGGGAAATGCAAATTAAAACCACAATGAGATATCACCTTGCCCCAGTTAGAATGGCTTTTATTAAAAAGTCCAAAAACAACAGATGCTGGTGTGGATGCAGAGAGAAAGGAGCACTTATATGCTGTTGGTGGGACTGCAAATTAGTACAATCTTTTTGGAAAATAGCATGGAGATTCCTCAAAGAACTAAAAGTAAACCTACCATTTGATCCAGCAATGCCATTATTGGCATGCCTTACCCAAAGGAGAAGCCCTTTCATCAAAACAATACCTACACTCGAATGTTTATTGCAGCACAATTCACAACTGCAAAGATATGGAATCAACCCAAGTGCCCAGCAGTTCATGAGTGGATTAATAAAATGTGGTATATGTATAACATGGAGTACTACTGAGCCATAACAAGAGAGGAATTAATACCTTTTGGAACAATCTCGATGGAACTAGAGACCATTCTTCTAAGTGAAGTATCTCAAGAATGGAAAAACAAACACCTAATGTACTCACTATTAAACTGGCACTAACCAATGAGCACACACATGCACAGAGGGAAGTAAAATTCAGTGGGAATCAACTGGGGGGTGGTGAGGAAGAAGAGAGGAATAAAACAACATAACAAGTACTATGAACACTATTTGGGTGACAGGCACACATAGCAGGGTCTCAAGCATTACAAAAATGATCCATGTAACCTAAAACACTTGTACCCCCTTAATATTCTGAAATAAAAAAGGACAAATAAAGATTGAGTAATAATCTGTAAAACAAAGGACGTGAACCCATCTCCTCCCTCAAGCTCCCAAAATACTTGCAGCCTAGACTTAATATCTACCCTCTCCCCAACCCTGAAAGAAAGATTATTCTCTGGATCAATGAACCAGTCCAAGAGAAACAGTCCATGGATACCAACATTTGGACAAACAATCAGGTCCCCATCCTCTTCTAAATAAAGCCTGTAACTTGACAAGGCCTTATCCATGTACACAGAGCTTCCAATCAGCTTTCAGTGCCTCATTCTCAAATAAGAGCAGATTGCCAGGAATCATCAGGCATTTAAAGAAAGCTTCTACTATGAAAGACAGCAAGTACAAAACTAAAAAAGGAATTCAAAAGACCTAAATAACAAACGGAGCTAAGAAAAATAAAAACAAAAAAAATAATATCTTCAGAGAGAGAAAATATTGCATCATTAAAATAAGAATAGGAAGCTATAAAAAGAAATTAATTAGAAGAAAAAAGGCTCTTAAATATTAAAAGTTAATAAAAATTTAAAAATCAAAAACAGGGGCTCTGAAAAAAACACAAGATTGAGGAAATATCTGAAAAATTCGAACAAAAAGACCAAGAGATGTTAAAATAAGAAAAATAAGGATCAATCTAGCACATTCATGATCTAGGTAACAGAAGTTCCATAACAAGAGAAAAGAGAAAACAGAGGAAGATAACCAAAGAAATAAAAGAAAAAAATTTCTCAGAACTGAAAGACAAGGATTTCCACTTTTAAAAAGGCCCAAATCGGTACCCAGTTAGCAAAAAACGTCCATCCCAGGGCATTTCATCATAAAACTTTTTAGAACATAGAATTTGCCAGGAGAAAAAAAAAAGTCACATAAAAGTATCAGGAATTAGATTGACATCTCACCTTTTGAGATTAAGATGGGAAGCTTAGAAGATAACGGAGCAATACTTTCAAATTCTGAAGAAAATCTACCTCAGCCAGAATTCTGCAGTATCCCAGCTATTAATGAAATGTGAAACAGAATAAATACACTTTCAGGCATGCAAGGTAACAGACAGTTTATGTACCATAGTCCATTTCTCAAGAAGCTATTGGAAAACATAAGCCACAAAAGAGGATGTTAGAAGATGGACATGAGGAATCCAACAAAGCATAGAGAAAAAGGGAATCCCCAGCATTACGGCCACTGTATGGGAGACCTAGACAGTGACCACTCCAGACTGGAACAGAAGATGGGGGCTACAGAAGACATGACTCCAAAAAGAAAGAGAAAGAAAAATCCTGTGCTTTACTTATACTTGGCCACTTTATTATTTTTTTGGAGAATCTAGTAAAAACTAATTAGTGATAGGAACATGGAAAACTAAGGGGAAAAAACGAGTTAGTTATTAACTCCCTGGAAAATAAAAAGTTGTACAAGAAAGGAAACATAATCCTTGTTTACAACTTTGGTTCAACTGAAAACAGCACTTATATAGTCCTAATAATGTGTATAATAAACACTGCTTTAATGAAAAATGATGGCACAGCCCTACTGGTAAGATGGGAGAGCAGAAAGGGAAGGGGAGAGAACAGGAGAAAAAGGGCTAATTCAAAGGAAATTTAAAATGGTCCCTGAATAAGAAATAAAAAACAGCACTTTATGGGGAAAAAGGAAGAAAATATCAGAGGAAAGTTAAAAGAGTTGAAAAAGCAGCTGCTCCTTGGGAATAGGCCCTAATTTTCCTTATATGCTTTATTTTACTATTTGAATTTTTAAGCCATATATGTGTTAAGTCATACTATTTTGTAAAACATAAAATTAAGAAATGTAGCTGAGGAAGAAAAGGCTAAAAATAAAGAATCAATCTCTAGTTGAAGCAATGTATACATTTTTCTAATCTGCAGCTGTAATGGCCTATTTATTAAAAAATTACACTCAAATATTAATGAACTGGGAGATACATAAAAAGGATAGGATATTAGAAATGGAAACAAAATTCATCATCCTAAGGTTATCATACTCGACCACCACATTGTCCTGGTAATTTCTGTTACAGAATCATTCAAGCAGACCTTGAGGGAGAATCAAATGGCCTCTGAAACAAGAGGAAAGGGAACTTGATGTGCTGCTTTAAGTGATAGCTGGTGCATGAAAGATAACTTTGCCCAAACATTCAGTATGTTCTTAATTAACCTACTGCCAGATCAGGCTCCCCCAGACTCTGAAAAGCAATGCTACTCACTACCCTCCCACAAGCTGTGTGACGTAAGAAAGCCAGAGCCATAGAAGTGGACTGTAAGAAGGCGGCAGAGGAAGGACCGCGCCCAAGGAAACAGTGTGTATGGACCCATCCAGCACCATCACTGAGGCCGCCATGCAGGTATGTTACAGTCTCTCTCTACTACGAAGGGTCACGCAAAAGATCTGGCTGCCATGACCATCGAGCAACATCTCCAAGTTTGTCTTTTCATATTCCTTATCTATCCTCCCTGTCTGGATCCGGCTGTGACCCAATCTTTTTCATTTTCTATCTGACCATCAGAATCAGCCAAGTTCTTTGCTTGGGGCCCCACCAGATTATGCTCTCTGGATCTTCTTGCATCTCTCCATCTGGAGACCCAGCTCTGCTTTCCTTATCCCCTGAATGCTGATGTCCTGAGACTTTCTATTAATAGCTTGTTTCCAAAGAAGTAAAAGGTATTCAAGGAAAGGTTTGGAATTTAGGGTAGGATACGGGATCACTTGTGCAAATGTGGTCCTATAAATGCAATACCTATAAAAACAGTAGACTTCAAAAAGCTTAAATTTACCTAAAATTCAAGCTAATATTTCTGAATTCCATACATATTTTTATCATATCTAGGCAGTGGGAGGAAGGAGGAGAGAATAAGCCAAGAAGACCTCCTGGGGGGCAGGGTAGGCTTTCAAATTCCAGAGAAACATTCCACAAATTAAAGGGCGCTGAGTTGAGTTAAACAGACTGTTAACCTGCTATCTTTTCAACTTAGCGTTCTGCTTCATACATCTGAGCTGGCACTTCTTCAGCTTGCAGAGTGATATATTGCTTGTTAGTATTTACAGCTGAGTGATATTTTCAGCTGCTTGTGCAACCACAACCTTTGTGAGCGAGGGCCGCCGTCTGGACATCTAAGTACAGGCAGCCCTGAGTGCTTCATGTACCTCAGAGGCTGGTCTGAAAGCAGCCTCTGGATGCTTCTAATCCAAGCCTTGGAGGTCAAGAACAGCAACCGGATGGGGAGAGAGGGAGAGCCACCTCCAGTCAGTGAGTTAGGACACACACATGAATCGAATCCCACATCATAATACGGGCCCCACACCAGCAGCATCAATACCCAAGACTTGGGAACTTGGTAGAAACGTGCATTCTAGGCTCCCACCTCAGACCTACCCAATCTGAATCTTGGGGTGCAGTGGCAGCACTCTGGTTTTAAGAAGCCTTTCTAGAGATTCTGATGCATATGAGAGTCTGAGAGCCACTGCCCCATAGCAAGCTCTACCATGTCTTGCCCACAACTCTGATTCCTGATCCTTAGGGGTGATGCTTACCAATCAAGTGCTCTTATGCAATATTCTCATCTGGCTGATCCCTTTCTAAATCTCCAAAAACTAGACTTAGACTGAGGCTTATAGGAAGTCCAGGTAAGTATATAATCCTCATCTGAGGCTTTGGTTACAGCAAAGTCGCCACTCTGGCTAGATTTCACAGAAACAAGCTATTGTTTTTTAACCTCATTCTTATTCTAGGTACAATAATCTATTTTAAGTCACTTCCCCATTTTTTTCATTAATTTTTTTATCAATGGCCATGGGGACCCCTACTGTCTCCCCTTCTCTGTTTTAGGTCTAATACGGTAAATGAGGAAAAGAAAAAAAAATCTGGAGTATATTTATTAGTGTTATCTATGATAGCAAACTTGGAAAAAAGTGTCTATAAAAAGAGTAAATAAAATTATAACATACTGATAAGAGGGGGTATAATCTTTCAAATCATACTGTAGAAAAATAACATGGGAAAATACTACATTCTACATAATTTTAAGACTGCATTATGTTTAGCTTTTAAAAAATTGTCACTGAGGAAACAAGATGGCAGGCTCACGGCGAGGAGCTGTCAAGGGATGAAAATTGGTGTGCCCAGAAACAGATTTTAAAAGCAGTTCTTCTTCAGAACATCTTTTTCATACTCCCTGATAAGCATCTTGATCACCATGGCCGCAGCAGCAGTAAAATGGGTGATATCAAAGAGACCTATCTTGAAACATTTATTTCCAATCCAAAATGGAGCTTTATCTTGTGTTTGTCATAAATCTACATATTCTTCTCTACCAGATGACTATAATTGCAAAGTTGAGCTTGCTTTGACATCTGATGGCAGGACGATAGTCTGCTACCACCCTTCGGTGGACATTCCATATGAACACACAAAACCTATCCCTCGACCAGATCCTGTGCATAATAATGAAGAAACACATGATCACATGCTGAAAACCAGATTAGCAGAAAAAAGTGAAAACCTTGAGCAAGGACCCATGATAAAACAACTTAGCAAAATGTTCTTTACTACTAAGCACCGTTGGTATCCTCGTGGACAGTGTCACACTTGTAAGAAACTGAATCCTCCAAAGGACAGATAATATTGAGGTTCTCCAGGGAATCAGAGAGAAATGCCCCTCATTTGCCATTTGAGGAAATGTAATCTGGTGTATTCACTAATATGTTATACAGTAAAATGGTAATAATAAAATGTCTTTTCATATATTAGAATGTGCATTTCTTTATATTAAGTCTGGATTTGACATTCTCCTTAAGAGAAACCTATTTCATCTTTTTTTTTTTTTGCAATATTAAAGTCTTTCATTTACAGATGGAAAAAAAAATTGTCAATGAGAGGATATGGTTTTGAGAGCACATGCCAGAAATCCAAAATTCACAGTTTAAAGTTCACAGTCTCAGTCCTCCTACATGTGTTCCTATCTGCCAGAGAACCACAGGTAAGACAAGGGAGAGAGCGTCCGAGGAGGTCCCCAGCTACAGAGGCTCTTCCCAGTGTTAGGGATGAAGGTCTGCCAAGAGGCAATGCCAGAAATGGCACTGTAGTTGGAAGTGATACAGGATAGAGTATGTAGGGAGATGATAAAGATTTGCTTAATTGTACAAAAAGAGAAAAAAATAAAAGCATGGAGAGACAGACTTGGTAAAATATTTAGGCAGCCTTGACATGAGGAGCTAAGAAAATTAATGATGAAAACATGCAGTCTTCCCTTATATAGACCCTTAACTTGGTGAGAAATTCCTTTCACAGAGATTCAAATCAAAGTGCCAATCTCCCCCATCCAGACAGATCTGCTACTTTAAGTTATATTCAAGAATCACTGTGTCGAACTCTTTCAAGTTTTGAGGGTGTGGCACAATGTGGTTAAATATAATCCGCCTCATTTTTACAGATAAGAATGGCAGAGCACCTAGTGACAGGAATATTCTGCAAGGCCAGCCCTCACTGTCTTCATCATTCACACACATAGACCTTTTCTATGTTAAATTAAGTCAGTTGCATCTGGCCAAAATATGACTCTTGACTCTCACCTCTTGCTCTCCAGTCTGAGCAAGCTCAGTGCACGGCCAGAGGCCATGACAGTGGCATATCTTTGAAAAACCCAGACCATTCCTTGATTTACTGACCAAGATCCATAGCTACTCTTACGTCAGGGTGTCTGACATTGTAAATTTGACGGAATCTAGAGAAGAGACTCCCCTGTAGGTTGGGCTCATAGTAATCTCATCTAGAGTAGGTTAAATATTTCTGAAGGGGAGGGGAGAACTAAACTATAAATAAATCATGGCTCCTCAGGCCCCTTGTCAGTTGCTTTCACTGAAGAGGCAGAATGTATAACCTACTGCTTTAAATCAGGGCTCTCATCACCTAAGCTCTTAGTAAGGACTATTTAAGAAAGAGTTAAAGAAAAAATATAGAATACATTTTCTAGTTGTATGCCTAGATTTATGCTATTATGATTAAGTTCTTTACCAAATTGATAAGAATTCAGTACTTTGATCATTTTGTTCTAAACTGAAACATACCTATTTCAAAGCTGCAAAATTTCATATTCTATTTTCTCCTCATCTATATTCTTATAAAAGAGAACTAAAATCCCAACCCTTTATTCTTATTAAACATCTCTTAGAGCTTTAGATATAAGTGCAGGATAAGGTCCCACTATTTCCACACTTTCATTCTGGGTCATAGCCATCCACCTATATGAATTCTCCTGCTTGGAACAGATGCAATATTCTTCATCTCAAATTTGTACCATTTGAACAACTGGGTCTGACTGACATCTACAGGACATTCTACCCAAAACCCACTGAATATATGTTCTTCTCATCAGCTCACGGGACATTCTCTAAGATTGACCATATTCTAGGACACAAAGTAAATCTCAAGAAATTTAAAAAAAATAGAAATCATACCATGTACCTTCTCAGATCACAGTGGAATAAAAGTAGAAATCAACCCTAACAGAAACTCAAATTTCTACACAAAAACGTGGAAATTAAACAACCTCCTACTAAAATGATTACTTCATAAATGAAGAAATCAAGATGGAAATAAAAAAATTCTATACTCCTACACTGCTGGTGGGACTGCAAATTAGTTCAACCTCTGTGGAAAGCAATATGGAGATACCTTAAAGCAATACAAGTGAATCTACCATTTGATCCAGCAATCCCATTGCTGGGCATCTACCCAAAAGATCCAATGACACTCTACAAAAAAGACACCTGCACTTGAATGTTTATAGCAGCACAATTCATAATTGCAAGGCTGTGGAAACAGCCCAAGTGCCCATCAATCCAAGAATGGATTAATAAAATGTGGTATATGTATACCATGGAGTACTATTCAGCTCTAAGAAACAATGGTGATATAGTACATCTTATATTTTCCTGGTTAGAGCTGGAACCCATACTATTAAGTGAAGTTTCCCAAGAATGGAAAAACAAGCACCACATATACTCACCAGCAAATTGGTATTAACTGAACAGCACCTAAGTGGTCACATAGGTACTACAGTAATAGGGTATTGGGCAGGGGGGAGGGGGGCGGGTATATACATATATAATGAGTGAGATGTGCACCATCTGGGGGATGGTCATGCTGGAGACTCAGACTTGTGGGGGGAGGGGGGGAAATGGGCATTTATTGAAACCTTAAAATCTATACCCCCATAATATGCCAAAATTAAAAAAAATAAAAGAAATAAATTTAAAAAAAAAATTTGTACCATTTGCTTGGAACAGTAGTAATATTCAGAGGAGGCTCAAGGGTTCCTATATAATTCCATAGATAACTTGCAGGTAGAAGACCTGGGTTTGCGTGTTTACATAACTTGCCAAACATGACTTTAGACAAGTCTTTAGGCACTATGAGTCTCATTATGACTGCTTTACAGATGGGAAAGGATCTATAACTTTCCCTACCTTCCCAGCAGGGTGAGGGTCAAATAAAACAATGGCTGTCACATCAACATGTGATTAAGTCTTGCTTGAATGGCTCAAGTCCTAGGGACCCACTCTTCCTCTCTCCCTTTCTCCTTCCCTCCTTCCTTCTTTCATATATATATATATATGTATATATATATATCTATCTCAAGGACCTCCTGTCTAAATTGTTCTAGGTATTCTTAGGAGAATAGTGAGATAAGTCAGAAATGTCCTTAAGGTGCCTAAAACTTCACAGGAAATTATACTTTTATACATGGTAAGTGCTAGGAAAGGAATAAAGATAACATGCTCTAATAGTTACGAGGAGAAAAAGGGAGTCAGGAAAACCTCCAAGAGACAGGAGTATATGAGTAGGCCACGGAAGCATGGATAAAATATAGACATTTAGAGTTTATGGAGTAGAAAGGCATGCCAAGGAAAGGACCAAGACTTAATCACATGTTGATGTGACAGCCATTGTTTTATTTGACCCTCACCTGGACATTGTATATACCAGAAAGACAAATCTTTCTTCCAGACAGCAAGACCCATTGCAATGTAAGCTCCCCAAAGGTATGGATCTTTTTATGCTTTGTTCACTAATACAGTCAAAGTACCAAAACCATTGCTTAGAACATAACAGGTATTCGATAAATGGCTACTGTCAATAAATGCCTACTGAACAAATAAATGCCTAAAACAATGCAAAAATTCAATATAATATCAATAAAAATACAAACAGGATTATGTGGAAAAGCCTGACAAAGATATCAACCTTCCACTTGAAAAAATATATACAAAAGATCATTTTTCACCTGGTAGATGAGCAAAAATTCAAGTATTCAGGGTTAATGAAGGCATGAAGAACAAGAACACACAAAATGTTATTTGTGCAACTATATATGGGTATGGTGTTTTGAAAGGAGAATTTGTTAATATCTATCAATATTTAAAATGTGTCCTTTCTTTAGGCAATTTCTCAGCTGGAATTAAGTCTATATAGTCACACATTTATGCACAAACATATATGAGAGTATGTCCCTTGTATTCCCGTTAGAAAATAGAAAAAAAAAAGAAAGTCTAAACATCTATCAATAATAGACCTATTACATAAAATATACCCAAATAATGGAATACTATACAGCCATCCTAAAATACTGAAGTGGACCTATATAGAAAGAAATGGAAATAGGTCCGTGATCTATTGTTACAGTAAAAAAGGCAAGGTGCAGAAAAATATGTACAGTATGATCCTATTTGTGTTTTAAAATTATATCATTATGCTATATATGAACAGAAACATTCTGGAAGGTTATCTTTAGCAATGGATTCAAGGAGATAGAAGAAAACCTCACCTCAAGCAAAACAGAAAGATGTTTGTTGTTGTTGTTACCATAAGCATATACTGACATTTAGAGAAGGCAAAATCAGGAGACAAGAAGGGCTGGCCAGAAAGAGAACAATAATTAGAATGAAGAATGGAGAAGAGTCTAGTTCTTGTGCATAAAAGCCTTGAGGGCTGCGAGCTGGACAGCCAAGTACACTTGCAGCTAGGAAGCAATAACTGCCAGTGCCAGGGCTTTAGGCATTTTCAGCGAGAAAGAAGGTGTGGCTGGAAGCCACTGCCACAATCCCTACAATGCCACAAGTGCCTTGTGGCTTCTTCAGGCAAGGAAGAAGTCCTGAAAGCAGTTTTGGACCACTCCATCTCTTTTCAGGAAGAGCCAAAGGCCTCCGCCACAGTCTCGAGCAAGTGACTGTAGCAATCCATAATGCCTCTAGATCACTTTTGTTTACTGTTTCCCTTAGAGTGTTGGAAATATTAATTGGAATAAAAGTAAAGCACTTAGCACAGTCTCTGGCAGAGAGTAAGCACACAAAATATAAGCTATTATTAAGTTGCTTACAGAACTTTTTCAATAGTTCTAAGCACTACAACTGCAAAAGTCATCAAGAAGTCTTTGATTTCCAACAAGACCCATGCTTCCCCATTTATTTCTGCAATAAATAAACACACTGTCTTCCTAAGCACATTTCAAACAAACTGGAAGCTGCTGCTTCAGTGTTTCTTACTTTTGTCAGCATTTCAAAATTAAACTGCCTTTTTCAGGCCCAAGTATAAAAAGCACACTTAAGTCTTAGAAAGCTAGAATTTAAATAACCTTTACAATTGTAGTACATTTTCCTTTCTCCTATCCTGACAGCTGGACCATGCCTCACATGGCTAGCAATTGAATTCACTTACCACAGCAGGAGGGTCATTCCATTCTTCATAG